TATTTCAATTTGTGAGGCACAGAAGCGATTAATTCGGGTTTTACCTGATTACCTGAGTTGTTATGATTTGGAGACTTTATGCTCTATTTTGTTTGTTTATGTTTTATGTTTGTTTCTAACATACTGCCTTTTTATTCCCCTTTTTTGGCCTGCGACGCTGGGAGTTGGATTTCGGTAGGTTGGCGGACCTACTAAGCTGGTATCCGGAGTTCTATGTCGTCGCTCCCACATGAGCTTGCAGTGTTGGCGGCCACTGCCCTTCTTGCCGATTCTCCGCTCCCATGCAGCTTCAAACCTTCTGCTCCATTTAGTTTTCTTTAGGCTTTTTTCCTATTTATCGGTGACTTGTTTCTGTTTTTTCTTTCCTGGTGTTGTGTTCTAACATATGATATCCGATAATAAATCATAAATCATAAATCATACCACGCGGTCGTCAAAGTGTTAACTAAATTTGGGTTGCAATTATAACTGCAATCATAAATCATGCTGTTCAAGAACACGGCGCGCGTTTTGTGGCGACTTCATTCACGTCAAATTTTGAAAATTCCAAAGTGGGATCGTCGTTGGAAGCTTGAAGAAGTGGACTTGAAAAGCTACGATAGCTATCTGTAGCATATGTATGCGTTTATAGTCGCTGTTCTGTTAGATCACCGTATTCCTCAGATTTACAAATTTGAAAACCTTTTATTAACAGTTAGAACCGAAATTGAAATTCAATATATGCACAGTGGTGGTCAAAAATATCCGCCGATATCATTTTTCGCATTTCACTTGTTTTCTTTTGCCCAGGTTACTTCCAATGTTGAGATTCATTTATTTATTTGTGCTTGAACACGCCATAAAATTAAAATAGCATGAAGTTAAAAATTTCCAACAAGCTGTCAAAAATATCAGTAACAAAACCAGTGATAAACCAGCGACCTGAGGTTGAGTTCACTAGCCTATCTGCGATCTACAAGAAGAGACGTATGAGCTTGCAAGCCAAGAGATTTGACTTTTTTAATTCTCAATTTCTAAGGAATGAAATATCAAAGGCAACGGTCATGATGGCTGACGGTTGGTACGGATTTTGATAACGTCATTGAA